TCCAGCCCCCCCCCCCCCCCCACCCCACCACCATCACCCTTGCTATGTCCTCTGCGGACGACTCGGGCCGCATCCGGTCGCTGGCGGCCGAGGTGGCTTCGCTCAAGCTGAACAACGCCATTCTGACAGAGTCGCTGGCGGCGGAGAAGGCGGCTCGCGCAGCGGCCGAAGGAGCACTGGCGACACGGGAGAAGGAGCAGGCAGTGGCTGCGGAGAAGAGCGGCAAGCCGGGATGCTCAGTCGATGAGCTGGCCTTTGAGAACGAGCGGCTGGCTGTCCAGGTGGCTGAGCTCTCGGCAGAAACCGTCTTTCTCAAGGATCGCCTGCTGGCCAGGGACAACCAGCAGGACGCTGCAGGTAGTGGCGGCTCGCGTGCTGTCGCTGTCCTGCAGAATCAGCTTGCCGACAAGGAAGCCACCATTCTGGCACAGACCGAACTGCTGGACCGCATGAGCGCCGCGCTGCAGGAGAAGATCACTGCCGCAGAGTCGGCGGCCGAGTCCAAGAAGGACACGCTCATTCTCTCCGACCTCAAGGAGGCCGGCATCGACTCGCCTGCTGCCTCGTCCAAACACGTTGCTCTGCTCATTGCCTCGTACACCGACGAAATTGCCAAGTTGCAAACGAGGGCCGAGGCCGCCGAGGCCCGTGCCGCCGAGGCGGCGGCCTCGGCCGAACACTTCCGGGCGCTCCACGAGGTTGACGTAGCCCTCATCAACGGCCTGCGTAGCAGCCAGACCGGCGGCGGCGATGGCCCTCAGGCAGCATCGACGTTTATTGCTGCTGCGCCTGGTCCGACCGACCTTGACTCGCTCCTCCCCTCGCTCTCATTCGAGCACACCGTGGCCGCCACACTTGGCGCGTCTGCCGCCGACTTTGGCCGGCAGTCGATTGGCGGCGATGGCGCCGTAAGCTACGACGATCATACGCGGCTCGTGGACGACTACGAAGCGCTGCGGAGCCGGGCTGCGATGCTCGAGCGCGCGGCCGAAGAGGCGACCGCCAAGCAGGCGGCTGCAGAGCTGCAGCTCGAGCGGCGAGACGCCCAACTCCGCGAGACGCTGCGCGAGGGCGTGGCCCGCGACGACCAGCTTGAGGCGGCCACGCGCGATCTCGCCACAGTCTCGAGTCAGCTGGAAGACGTGACCGCAGAGAACAGCGAGGCACAGGAGCTCCTCGTCAAGTTTAAGGATGCCAACGCTGCACTTGCCGACAAGGTCAAGTCACTGGTCTCGGAGCTCTCGGAGACCAAGATCCTGCTCAACGAGACGGCGCTCCGCGCAAGCACGACCGCTGCCCGGCATGGCGAGCTCACCGAGACCTACACCGAACTGCGGGCGGTGTTTGAGCGGGTCTCGGCGTCCAACGTCGCCAAGGAGGAGGAACTTGAGCGGCAGCGGGTCGAGCGCGAGGAGCGCCAGGCTCAGGTCGCTAGCCTCGAGGCTCAGCTGACAGAGGCTCTTTCTGCCAACGCCAAACTCACGGATCAGGTCGGCGAGAGTCACCAAGCAATGGCCGAGGCACGGACGGGCAAGGCTGCTGCCGAGCAGGAGCGCGACGCTGCGCTGTACAACAAGCAGGTTTCCGAAGGCAAGATGCACAGCGCCGATGAGGCCCGCGCCCGGGTCACTGCCCAGTACGAGGCGCTCGTGGTCGAACACGAGTCGATGGTTGCCGCTGCTGCTGCCGACCGCGCTGAAGCCAAGGCCCTGGCCTCGCAGCTCGAGGCAGCGCACGCTCGCATTGCTGTCCTGCAAGAGCGCTCTGCTGACCTCTCGACCCAGATGCACAAGGCGAACGTGGCCGCCGCCAAGGTTGGCGCCGGAACAACCCCAGCGCCGTCGCCGGCTCAGCGCGTCGAGCCGATCCCAGTCCCGCAGTCACCGACCATGTCCGCCACTGTCGCTACCGTGGTCGTTGTCGAGGACGACGCGCCATCGGTGGCTGACGTTGTCGCGCTGGAGATGTCCCCGCCACGCGCGTCCGGCCCCCGCGCCCGTCTTGTGCCCGTCACACCGCAGCCGCGTGCTGCCACCCCAAGCCCGAGCCCGAGCCCGAGCCCGAGCCCGAGCCCGAGCCAAACCCCGGACCACATGCCGTCACCGATCGCGCCGCCGTCGCAGCCCACACCCGAGATGGAGTTCCCAGGCTCGGCCGCATCTCCGGCGCCGCCTCCTCCAGCGCCGCACTTTGAACTGCAGGCGGGCGAGACAGCCGAGCTCAACTTTACGTCTGCGCTCTTTGTCGCCGGCGCCAACGTGCAGGCGTACGTCAGCGCTCCCGGTGCAAACGATGGACGCAGCGCGCTTCCGTCGTCGGTTGTGGCCACCGAGCTTGGCGAGGCCACCGTCCAGGTCCGGCTCACGGTCTTTGTGCCCGGCGACGTCGACCTGCACATTGTGGCCAACGGCGTCGAGCTCCCGGCCTCACCGCTGCTGGTGCGGGCGGTGGCGCGCGCGTCACCTGGAATCGCCCCTGCGCCTGCACCTACGCCTACACCCGCACCTGTGCCCACGGCTGCGATAGGTTCGCCGCAGCGAGTTTCATCATCTGCTGCGCCACCGTTTGCTGGCGCGGGCCCTGGGCGATGCCAAGAGTGCGGCGGCGAGCTGGGCTCGCTGGCCATGTCGGACCACGTCCCGTTCTGCCCTGCGCTCCAAGAGTGTACGCTGTGCGGCAAGTGGATTCCGTCGTCGCTCATTGTGGCACACGAGGACAAGCACTACGCGGCGCAGCAGGCGCTCGCAACAGCCAAGCCGCTTGTTGGTATCCGGCTCGCGGACAAGGGTCCGGCACGCGGACCTTCGCGGCCAGGTGTCGTTGTTGCCGCTGCGCACCCGGGCCACCCTGCACACAAGGCTGGCATCCGCAGCGGCGACATCATTCTCTCTGTCAACGAGGTCGAGACCAACACCCGCGCCGCCTTTGGCCGGGCGATGTCCGATCTTGCCCGCCCAGGCGCGCTCCTCGATCTCATGATCGAGCGCGACGGCGAGACCATGAACGGCGTCGTCCTCGTCGGCGCCGTTGGCATGGAGCTGGAGACCGTCAAGGAGCTGGTCGCGCTCTCATTTTGACGCGCGGTGTCTGGAACACGGGCAGATAGGCGGCAGCAAGCCGGGCGGCCGCCGAGTCCAGCCCAAGCATGTGTCGCGGCCGCGACCCGCTGCTTCCCGTCGCCACCTCGCTCAGCCACGCGTGCTCTGGCGAGTGGTCGTCGATGCGGAGCGAGCCACAGCTGTGGATGCCGGTGTAGGCTAGGACGAGTGGGTCAAAGCCGGCACCGAATCCGACCTTGATGTCGATGCGGACGCCGTCAGCCGCAAACACCACCCGCCGTGGATGGAGCACATCCTCGAGCTCGACACACACTCGCCGGCCAAAGTGGCTTGCAAGGAGCTCGCCCAGCACTTCTGCAGTAGCAACAGGCTCGTCAAGCCATTCAGCACTCTCACGCGCACACACTACGAAATCGTACAAACCCGCCGCCACCGCTCCGCGGGCCAGCGCGCCGGTAACAGCTACCCGCGTAAACTCGCCCGACTCGGTCAGCGACGCCGCCAACGCCGCCGCCATCGGCGCGGTGATCTCGGCGGCTGCAGCGCACGGATGCAGTCGAAGCGGGCCAAGCGCGTCGACTGCAGCCACCATTTCTGCTTGCGCTGCCTCGCGCGACGTTGCTAGCCGCGCCAGGAGCAGCGCATGGCTTGTCCGCGCATACGGCGAGAGCGGAGCAGCTGCTGCATTCACAGCATCCGCCGTCAGCACACCATGCAGAATGTCGACTTGCGGCTGGTTGACGACCATAGCCGCCGTCGGCGGAAGCGCTGCGTCGTCGAGCGAGACGACTGCCGACAGAGGCAACAGCGGTCCGGCAGCGACGCACGCTAGCAGCGACGCCGTCAGCGTGTGCGGCGTGCTTCCGCTCCCACTCCCGCCCCGCTTCCGCTCCTGCCCCGGGACTCTGCATCCCGTGCCCCGTCGTGGCCATTGGCCACCAGCGGCGGCGATAAAAGCGAGCCACCGTCATCGCCACTGACATCGCCACTGACATCGCCATCGCCGTCGCCACCGCCACCGGCATCGCCGCCGCCAGCGACACTGTCGCCGCGTCCGCCATCGCGTCCATCATCGCGTCCACCCAGCTCGACAGAGGCCACCAGTGAGCCGCCGACAGGCGCCAGGTCGACCGATGCCGATGGCGGAGCCGAAGCTGTGGTGCTGAGGCTGGAAGGGACCAGAGCGTGTTGGCAGCGGCTGCTGCCAGGCCCGCGATCATGCGGCGAGTCCAGCGAGCTCTGTCCCACCGCAGCATCCCACCATGCCCGCACACCCGGTGGAGCCGCGTATGCGGGTGTCCGCCCCAGCAAGCGCTCCTCTTTCTCGGCCCGCCACTTGTGCTCCCATGCCGCCAGGCTCCGCATGGCGAGGACCAGGCGCAGCGGAGGGAGGGGTGCCGAGGCGGGGCGGAACCTGGTGCGAGAGCGAGCGGCGCCTCGACTCGTGGATTTTAAAAAGGTCGTGGTTCTGCCCGCCCACAGCCAACGCAGGCCGTGGCCGCTGCAGCGACCGGCACACTCGACCCGGGACGGGAAGGAGCATACAGATGGCGGCTGCAGGGAGGACGCCCAGGGAAGACAGTGTTGTCACATGGGCAGATGCCATGGTCAAGGCGCTGGAGGCCGAGCAAGGCGAAGAGGTGGCTGAGCTGTCGGCGGCGCAGGCGCGGCTGTCGGCTCGGGCGCTGGAGGCCCGGGGCGTGTGCCTGGCGAGCCTGGTTGCGGCCGAGTCGCGGACGGGTATGGGTGGCCATACGGTGGTGACACTGCGGGCGACAAACGCCAACGTGCCAGACCTTCCGCCGCACTCGTTCACGCCCGGTGACGTGGTCACCCTCGTCCGCGCGAGCAAGGGCGGGGCGAGCGCGAGCGCGAGCGCGGCGAGCCGCAAGGGCGGCAAGAGCAGCAAGAGCAAGGCCGATCGCAGTGGGAGTGAAAGTGATCGCGGAGGCGACGGTGTCCGGCGAGTGACGGGCGTTGTCGTGCGCGTTGCTGACGATGCCCTGGTTGTTGCGCTAAAGTCGTTCGAGGGTGCAAGTGCGAGCGAGGACGAAGCCGCCGAGGTTCTCCGTGGCGTTGTTCGGCTCGACAAGCTCGCCAACACGGTCTCGTTCAAGCGAATGTTCATTGCACTCAACAGGCTGAGCGATCCGACTCGGCGCTCGGGCCCAGAGTGTGGGCAGGCGGTGATTGGCGTTGCTTTTGAGGGGCGGAAGCCGTGCTGGAGCCCGTCGCGCGAGGCGGCGATAGCGAGCTGTGGCGAGCTGCCGTGGGTCAATGCGACTCTCAATGCGTCTCAACAAGAAGCGGTGGCACTGGCACTGGCGTCGCAGGACGTGTTTCTTGTGCATGGCCCACCAGGGACCGGCAAGACAACGACGCTCGTCGAGATCGTGCACCAGATCCTGCTGCGCGCACCCGAGACACGGATCCTGGCGACGGCACCGTCAAACGTGGCGGTTGACAACCTTGCGCTTGGCCTCATCGCGTCGGGCGTGGACGTTGTCCGGGTTGGGCACCCCGCAAGGCTCCTCCCGCAAGTTCTCAACCATTGCCTCGACGCCAAGGCGGCGGCATCGGACGGGGCGGCGCTCGTTGCTGACATTCGGGCTGAGATGGACGCCAATCTGCGGGCGGTGAGCAAGACGCGGAACCGGGGTGAGGCGCGCAAGCTCTACAGCGAGAATCGGGCGCTGCGTAAGGAGGCGCGCGAGCGCGAGGGTCGGGTTGTTGACTACGTCGTCGGCCGGGCACAGGTGGTCCTCGCCACCAGCCAAGGCGCCGACTCGCGGACGCTGCGGTCACGCCACTTTGACGTCGTCATCATTGACGAGGCCGCCCAGGCGCTTGAAGCCTCGTGCTGGATCCCGCTGCTCAAGGGCAAACGTGCCATCCTCGCTGGCGACCACAAGCAGCTCCCACCGACGATCAAGAGCAGTCGAAAGGAGGTCCAGGCTCGCCTGGAAACGACGCTATTTGATCGGCTGATGGCCATGCACGACGGCACCGCCGGCCACATGCTCAAGGTCCAGTACCGGATGCACGCTGCGGTGTGCGAGTGGGCATCGGCGGCCATGTACGGCGGCGAGCTGGAGGCGCACGAGTCTGTCGCCGCCGCGGTGCTTGCCGACTTGCCGGGAGTGGCTGAGACCGAGACAACGCTGGCGCCGGCGGTTGTGGTCGACTCGACCGGGTGCGACATGTGGGAGGTGGCCGACGACGACTCGGGCTCCAAGTACAACCCCGGCGAGGCGCAAGCAGTGGCCGGCATGGTGGACGAGCTGCTTGATGCAGGGCTTAGCCCTGACACAGTTGGCATCATCACCCCTTACAACGCCCAGGTCGGGCACCTGCGGAGCGTGCTTGCCGACGATCGCTACACAGGCGTCCACATTGGGACCGTCGACTCGTTCCAGGGCATGGAAAAGGAGGCGATTGTGCTCTCGCTGGTGCGGTCCAACGACAATGGCGAGCTCGGGTTCCTCGCCGAGCAGCGCCGGCTCAACGTGGCGGTGACCCGAGCGCGCAAGCTGGTCGTCGTGGTGTGCGATGTTGAGACTGTCAGCAAAGATCCGTTCATTGAGTGCCTCGTCAACCACCTCATGGACGTGGGCGAGTATCGGTCGGCGGCTGAGTTTGAGTAAACCGGCTGCTCTGACCTCAGCGCGTGGCCTGGGTGATAGCGTCCATGTCAACTGCCACCGACGAGACCGACGAGGCCGAGGCTGGCGCCATGGTTGAGCTGTCGAGTGAGCCAAAGCCAGTGGCGGCGCGCCGCCAGTCTGGCATGTCGGGCGGCGGCGGCGACTCGAGTCGGAGGTGGGCCTCTTGTGGCGGCGGGCGCGGCGACGGCGGGTTGGCCGGCGAGAGGTCGATGGCCTCGGCCGACGACGAGAATCCGATTTGCCAGTATCCTTCGGGCGTGGCCGGCTTGGGATAGCGTGCGCGGTGGCGCGAAGCGGCCTGAACGACGGCGTCGTGCTCGCAGTTGTCATTGAACACGCCGCACGCCTCGTAAAATGCCTTGCACATCTCGCAGGTAAAGCCTTGGAGTCGCGACCGCTCAGCGCGGTTGCGGACCACCTCGTTGTAGGCAAAGTCGGGCGAGCGCGTCGTCCGGACCGCCGGCCGCGGCTTGGACGGCGAGTCGTCAATGTCGTTGCAGCTGCCCGCCGCTGGCCGCGTTGCATCGCGCCCGGGTGTGATCGATGTCGACCGCGCCATCGCCGGAAACGCCGCCGGCGGCGGAATGGTGGCGACCGACGCTGGGCTCCCCACGCTCTGCTCGTCGTCGCGGTTGTACACCCTCCGCCCACGGAGCTTGAGCGCCTTTTTCGACTTGCGGCTCCGCGGCTTCTTGGCCGGCGGCGGCGAGCCTGACTCAACATCGTCCAAGACGTCGATCACAGGCGCAGCCGCGCGCATCTTCTGCGCTCGGTCCTCCCGCGGGGGTGGCGCTGCTGCTGCATCCGTCATTGTCGTCGCCGCCTCGACTGCCCGCTTCCGCTTCCGCTTCCGCTCGCTGTGCTCAGCCCTCTTCCCGCTCACTATTCCCACGAGCTCGTCGACTCGGCGCTTCAGCTTTGCACGCTCCTCCTCGCTCTTCTGCAGCAGCTCTCGCGTGCGAGCTAGCTCGGTCTCGAGCCTGGCGGCGCGAGCTTCTGCCGCCGCGCCTGCCGTCTCACACCGCGCCGTGGCCTCCGCCAGCAGCGTCCCTGCGAGCTGCTCTAGCGCCTGGCGGGTCACGTCCCGCACCACCGCCAAGGCCGACCCGGCCGCGTCCTCGGCAATGTCCTTGAGCGGCAAGCGAGCCGAGACCTCGTCACCCATGGCAGTGGACGAGAAAGAGAGGTGTGGGCGGTGGAGGGGGACGGAAGGCGAGCGACTGGGCGAAAAAAGGTCGTAAAGTGCAAATGCAGCGAACGAGTCGCCTTCTCTGCCAAGGCCGGCATGGTCGACGGCGGCGCTTGCTGCTGATGCAGATTGTGTTTGCGGAGGCGGCACAGGATAGCTGCATCGGCTGCCAGGCTTCGGTGGCCTCCACATGGACATGCTCGCCTTGGCGCTGATCGAGGCCATCGGCACCGATGGTGACTTGGTGGCGATGATCGCCCACGGCCAGGAGGGCCGGCGCGGACCCTGCCGCCATCCACGCGCTGTCCATACAGAAACTCGAGGCTAGCGACCTCCGAGTGGACGGCGTGGACGGCAGACGGATGCAGCGCGTTCTTTGCTTGGAGCTGATGTTGACCGAGCAGAACGTCCGCGACAGCTGCCGTGTCCGACCTCTTTCGGTCATGGCCATGGGCATGGTCTTTTCTGGCAGGGCACACTCAACGCTCAAAGCCGTAGGCTCACAGCCTCACAGCCTCACAGCCTCACAGCCACAGACGGCACATATGTCGTGGGATGGCTTGTCAAGCGCCGACGGGGCTCGGCAAGCTTGTCGTGGACGGAAGGCGACGGCAGTGCCGAGGCTGGTGCGGGCATCGAGCCTGGTGCGGGCGGCATGGGTGCAGAGGGGACGCATGACGAAGCTCCGGCTACATTGACTGCCCAGCCTCTGCCGACCACTCCTTCTCGCCTGGCTGTAGGCTCGGGGTCCGACCCCGACCCCGACCCGTACTCGCCCGAGGTGGCGTCTGCCCGACCCGAGTACGTCGCTTGACCGCCCCTCTCTCCCCCCCCCCCCCCCCCTTCTCCCTCCTCTCCCCGCACTCACACGCCTGGAGCTGCAGATCGCTGCCGCCAAAGTCACGGGCCGAGGCAGCGCGGCACGCCAAGCTTGTGCGTAAGATGAAGAAGCAGGCCGCCGCTGCCGAGGCCAAGAGCAGGAAGGCTGCGACGCGGCGGGAGGACAAGCTGGTCTCGTCCAAGGCAGCATGGATGGAGCTTATCCATGGCAATGGCCTGGGAGCGGGCGCAAGCAAGAAGCAGCGCAAAAAGGTGGCCGAGCTGCTGCGGCTGGGCGTGCCGTCGTCGGCGAGGCCGCGGGTGTGGGCGGCGGCGCTGGGCAACCCGTTATCAATCACTCCGGATCTGTTCGACATTCTGCGGAGCAAGGCGAGCGAGGCACACAGTCTGGCACGGGCTGCGCGTCAGAGCGGGGCGGCCGACGGCGAGACGAGCCTTGCGCCGCGCGAGCACTCGTTGCTCGGCATCTACCTCGATCTCCCACGCACCTATCCAGAGCTCTCGATCTTTGACGAGGGCGGCCCGATGCATGACCAGCTCCGTGACGTGCTTGGCGCCTTTGTCTGCTACCGACCCGATATGGGGTATGTGCAGGGCATGTCGTTCCCTGCTGCGCTTCTCCTTCTCAATCTTCCGCTCTACGACGCCTTTGTCGCCTTTTGCACCCTTCTCAACATGCCACTGCTGGCAGCGTTCTTTCGGCTCGAAACCGACGAGCTGTCTCGGTGGATGGATGAGTTCAATGCTCTCGCTCACGAGGTCTTGCCAGACCTCGCCATCCACCTCGATGCCGTTGGCCTCCAGCCAAACCTTTACCTCGTGCCATGGGTCATGACCCTGTTCGCGCGGGCGCTGCCCCTCGATCTCGCTGCCCACGCGTGGGACTATCTCTTCATCCACGGCCAGGTCTTTATCTTTCACATGGCGCTCGGCATCCTCTTGTACCTTCGCGACCAGCTGTTGGCCGAGGACTTTGAGGGCGCCATGCTGCTGCTCTCGGGCCGGCTCCCGCACGACACATCGGACGCCGACCTCTTTGCCGCTGTCCGCAGCATCAAGCTCTCCCCAAGGTTGTGGCTCGTGCTGCGCCGAGTCTCAACGTGTAGCACCGTCTAAACGAAGACCGCTCGCCTCGCTCAGGCAAGACGGGGGGTGTCTGTCGGTGTGGGCAGCGCCGACGAGGACGGTGACGGGTCCCGCGACGACGACGCCTGGCGTGGTGACCCCCGGCGTGGCGATAGCCTGTTGCCCATTCGCGGCGCCGACTGAGTGAGCACACGCGGTGTCGCACGTGACGTTAATGACATCGAGGCCGTCCGCGTTGCGTCTGCGCCCGTCGTCATCGTCGACGACGATGACGACGCCGACTGGATGCTCGAGCTGGACGAGCTTGAGAGCATGCTCGAGTTGGCGAGCGAAGAGACGGTCCTCCTCGGTGACGACGCGCTGACAATCTCGCCTGTCACCATCAACCCGTTGACCGAGCTGTCGTGGATCGATGACGCCGTTCCAGCCCGCGAGTGGCCGACGTTGCGGAGCACGGCCGGTGGCACTTGGAACGTCCCACCACCGATAATGGGCACGGTACCGACGTCGGGCATGGACGACGTCGACTTGGACTGAACAAGGCCACCCAAATCATGCGATGGTGAGCGCAGGAGCGACGCCGCGCTGTTGCGCGGGAACGGCATCGAGATGGAGGCCGTGCTAGACAGCTGCCGCACAGCGTCGAGGTTCATCGCCTCCGCGCCCGAGTGGCGCCGCAGTATTCTCGCCGGTGGCAACATCGCTGTCGCCCGCAAGCGCGACTTGGAGCCATGGAGCTCTCCGCCAAGCAGCGACGGATTGTCCGAGTCCGAGGTGAAGGCCTCGATCGAAGGCTGCGGCGAGAGGAGCGAGCCCGACCGCCGCACCGCCGACGGAGAATGAAACAGCGGCTGTTGCGGACGCATCGCCCGATCATCCGACCAGTCTGAATCGATGTCGACAGACATCCGTCGCAAGTGGCCATGCGACGCCATGACGTCTCGCGTTCGCCCGGGCGTGGCCACGTTGCTCCCCTCATAGTCGGACGGCAGCGAGACCCGCGACGCCGCGAGCGCATCAGCAGCCTGAACAGGCTTGCGTCGTCGGAGCATGTAGCTCTGCCACACCAGCGCAGGTAGGAGGCAGAGGCAGCCAAAGGCGATAAGAATGAGACAGACAACGACAACAACAGGGAGCGATGGACCGCTCTTTTTGTGGACCACCTCCGGAGCCGTGTCAGTCCCGGTTCCGTTGCGCAACACCATGGCGCCTCTGGCCACGTCGCCAGCCGCTGCGCCGCACCCCGAGAGCCACAGTGCCCCCAGAATGCACGCCACAACCAAAGTCAGCAGCTTCGGCTGCCGTGCTTGCCTTCTTCTGCGCCGCCGGCCCTGGTTGTGTAGTCGGTGTCTCTGCCGAGGCAGCTGGCACACGAGGCCGTCGTCTGTGGCTGTCCTCTCTGCCAGCCGTCCATTCCATACCCTCCTTTGGCGCCACCTTTCATCAATCCTCCCAGCACCCATGCGGCCCGAGTCCATGCGTGTGTGTGTGTGTGTGTGTGTGTGTGTGTGTGTGTGTGTGTGTGTGTGTGCGTGTGAGGTGAGGTCCTTGGTTGTCGTCGTGGGTGGTGACGAGGGAGGCGTGGTGCGACACTCATTGGCAGCACGGCCTTCAATATGGAGACAGGGCGCAAGTTGGTTGCCAACCAATACGCCGTCATGAAATATTTTTTCCGCACCCCCCTCCCCCCTCTTCACTCCTGACTTGCTCCCGGCTTCATTTTCTTGCGTACGACACGGGCCAGCACCCGCACCTGACTACGAGGACAGATTGCTATGGCGACCGCCCCTGTTGTTGTGACGTACTTTGCCGGTGCTTACGGACGCGGTGGACCGATCAAGGATCTGCTCAAGCTCACTAACGTGCCGCACGAGTACCGAGGGGTGACCTTTACCGAGTTTGGCGAGCTCAAGGCCTCCGGGCGCTGCCGTTTGGCTCGCTGCCTGTGGCCGAGGTGGCCGGGCGGACGTACTCGCAGAGCAACGCCATTCTGCGGTATGTGGCGTTTCGGGGAGCATTGTCCGGCGGTAGCCTTTGGTATCCGACGGATAACGTGGATACGCTGCTGGCAGTCGACGAGCTGCTGAGCGCGGTGGAGGATGGGTACAACCTGTTCGGCTCGTCGGGACGGGAGAAGGATGAAGAGAAGAAGAAGGCCATGCGAAAGGAGATCCTGGATGGCCCGCTCACCCGCTGGTTTGAGGCTGTCGAGGCCATCCTTGCTAAGAACACGCAGTCCGACACCTTTGCTGTCGCCTCGCACCCTACCATCGCCGACCTCAAGATCTATGGCTACATCCAGATGTACGACGCCGGCCAGGCCGACTACATCCCCTCGGACTGTTTCCGTGCCTACCCGCGCATCACCGCATGCTACGAGGCCATGAAGGCCCTCCGTGCTGAGCACGAGCTCGACGACTGACCGACCATATGTGTCGCAGCATGTCCTAGTAACAGCCTACTTTTACCACGCGTCTACACCGCGTTGCTCTTGGAAGCGCGCTCCACCCCGTGCTGCCGCCGGATCTCGTCTGGTGGCAGGAGCGGCGCCGGCATGACAATAGGCTGCAGCGCGACATGGGTCCGTTCGACCTTGTGGGTCGCCCGCAGCGTGAGCTCAAACTTGAGCGACTCTTGCTGAGCATAGAGTGTCCGGAGCTGCTGGCGATGCTCATCGCGCGACTCGAGGAACGCCGTGTTGCGCTGCAGGAACGAGTCGGCGCCTTCGGTCGGGGCTCGCGGGGGAGAGTTGCTTCGCTTGGGCGCAAGGCCAGGCAACGGCCACAACTGCCGGTTGGTGACGTCGGCAAGCGGCTCACCGCTGCTCGGGAGCGAGCCGAGTACCTTGGCCATTTGCTTGCGGTAGTGGGCGTGGAGCTGCTGCAAGTGCTGCGCATGCCGCAGCACCATGGCCACAACCTCTTGCAGTGCGACGCTCGAAGCCAGCCCGCCGTCATCCTTACGTGAGCGCCGAACAAGGGCCTCAAGCTCGGCAAGCGGATCGTAGCTGGCGAGCTGTGCATCGAGCCCGACCGCATCCGGCGACTTCTCCACAGCCAGCGCTGAGGACATGTGTTCTACAACTGTACGCAGCAGGAGCGTCACTTCCTTGGCTGTGTACACCTCGTCTGAGACCTTGCTCGACGCAGCCTCGGATCCGGGAGCTCGTTCCTCGGCCACTACAGGCAGTGAGCCACAGCTTGTCATGGACGGAAGCTCTGGCATGCTCGACGCAGACATGTCAAGCAAGGTCGTCGTCAACTGCTGCGAGTCAAAGTGCGACGGCACCGCTACAACCGGACTGGCTGTGCGTCGGACCGACGCGGTCATGGGCAACCGTGCCCGCGCCACAGGCACCGTCGTTCCCGAGTCCTCCCACTCTGTCTGGCAAACCGATCTCGTTGCGATGGATGTCGGAAGAACACCAGACTCGTATTCAGAGTAGGCGATAAAGTCCGAGTTTGAGTCAGAGGCGGGCCCAACGTCGGGGTGTGAGGATGGCGGCGGCGACAACGAACGGTCGTTCCCGAGCGACGAGTGCCGAGACGAGTCGTCCGAGCTGGACCGCGAGGTCGAGCTGGTACTTGAGCTGGATGACACCGAGCTCGAGTTCGAGCTGTGCTCGGACTCGAGCGCCCGCTGGCTTGGAATGCTAGTGTCAGAGCTCGACTCGTCGACGCCGGCACCACATGAGTTAGTTGGTGTGTTCGAAGTTGATCTCTCAGGAGACGAAGCCCGCGATGACGGATTCGACACCGAGATCGACCGACGCCGCTTGGTGCTGCTCGACAACGGCCTCTCGACCATGGTATTGACTGGCTGGGCGAGCCGCGGCTTGCCATGCTGCGGCGGTGCCGGTAGCGGGTTCGGCGAGAGTGAAGTCCGCGATGCGCGTCGTGGCCGCGAGCGCGAATTGGAGCGCACCGGCGATCTTGACCCGCTCTGCGACGTTGTGCTCTCCAATGCATCCTTCTTCTTTCGCAGCGCTACAAGAACCGCATCGTGCTCCTCGTCAGCTTGCTTGAGACCCAGCTCTTTGGCGTCAAGGCGAGTCGCCGAGCTCGGCCGGACCCGTGAACCGGGCGTTGGCGATGTTGATGGGGCGAGACCGACGTTCTCGGTCGACTTGGAGTGGGCCATGGTTGCCGCGTCAACACGGATCTTGTTGATGGCGTCGTCAATATCGCCCGCTGCCGGCTCAAAGCCAAGGACTTCAAGAACGTTACCGGTGTGAACTCGTGACGAAGCCAACTCACGTGCGGCATCTACCGACGATCGGCGACGCCTCTTTCCGCCGCGGCTTGGGCTTCTGGCGCCCCGCCGCCGATGCGCTGCAGGCGGCGGCTGCGGCTCGTGTCCGTGACCCAAGTCAAGCACCGCAGCCGAGGTGTTGGCCCGCTGGATCCGAACCCGGACCCTCCGACCGGATGCGGTGCGCCGCTCGATGCCAGTGTCGTCGTGCGATCTGCGCTCCTCGTTTGTCTGCGAGGCAGACCTAGCCCCCATCGGACTGCCAGCTGCAAAGGTACCGTCAGCCGGCGCAGTTCTGACCAGCTCGGAGATCGAGGTATTCATCGAGTTGTCTGCCGCGGCGTGGTGGACCTCAGACGCCACCGAAGCCAGCGAGTCCATTCGCGAGACAAATACCTCCGGTACCGGCGGTGAGGAGAGTGACGGCAGCATCACTTGCGACACAACTCCGCTCAAGCCTGTCTTGCGCAAAGCGGTGACGTCTAGCGCTGACTTGGACGTCGCCGCTCCACGAGAGAGGGAGAACCGGGGGTCGTCGTCATGGTTCTGCAGGCCAGAGTCAGAGACGATAGAGTCTGATGCCCGCTGCGATTGTAGCGTCCGCTGCGACTCACGCGACGCGGCCCGTAGCGCCTGCTCCATGCGGATGAGGTCCTTGGCCAGCTGGCTGGTCATCTTGGTCGACGCCTGGACCGAGCTCGTGTCTAGGAGCGTTTCCGAGTGCGAGATCGACGAGCGGCGCGAGCGTGTTCGCGAACGCGACCGAGCTTGTGAGCGCGAGCGAGGTCGCGAGCTTGCTCGTGATGCAGTGCGCGAGCGCGACCGAGCTCGTGAGCGCGAGCGTGATGCGGCGCGCGAGCGTGAGTGGGTCCGCGCAGTGCCACCGGTCGACGCCGAGTCGACATGCGTCGGCGAAGCGATGACGGTGGTCGGCGGGAGCTGTGCACCTCGGGCGTGAATCGCAGCTGACGCAACAGCTGCCCGTGTGTTGATCTGGATCTGGCTCGACGAGAGTGTCAGCGAGCTTGACCGCTGCCGGGCCAGCCGCTCGACCAGCGCCGCCGCAGTGGCTTGCCGCTGAGTCGATGCCGAGCTGCTCACCTTGCGTCGCGCCTTCTCGAGGGAGGCACGCAGCGAGGAGACAGTAGCCTCAAACGCCGAGAACTTGGTCATCGCCACCTGCTTGTTGAGAAGCGCCTGTGCAAACGCCGCCCATCGTGACTGGTTCAGCTTGGCCTTGATCGCTTTCAGCTCATCCTGCCGGTGCTCCAACTCGGCATACGCTTGTACAAGCTCTGAGTTCTTGGTGGTGAGCTTGGAGCGGATAACGTTGAGCGAGTCCTCGCGCGCCTGCCACGGCTTGGAAATGGCGCGCATCATGTCGATGAGCTTAAAGATCGGCTCGTACAGCTCCGACTTGGCACGGAAAACCTTGGAGACTGCAAGCGTAGCGTTGAGCTGCAGTGCTAGCGGGAGATCAGAGCCGACAAACAAGTCCTTCAGCCGGCCAAACTCGTGCAGCGTCGTCTCCAGGCCAGCGGTTGCTGTAACGACCTCGTCGCACGCATCCAGCATCGATGCATGGGTGATGTGTGCAGTGTCGCCCATGGCTGCCAGTGCCGTCACTGCTCGACGGTACGCCGCGCCGTCAAGCCGCCCCGCTGACGCGCCGAGCGGAAAACTGACTGGCGTCATCGGCGAGTTGAGCGAGATCGAGCGGCTGTTCTCGGCATTGGCCTTGCTGAGACGGAGCGAGGTAAACGAGGCAATTCCCGTTTCTTGCGAGAGCGACTCGCGTCGCTTGCGTCTTCCGCTACCCCTGCGCGCCTGCTTGGGCGAGACCGATGTGGGCTTTTCCCGCCGGCCCCCACTCCGTCGGCGCCCAGGTGTCCGCGGCGTCCTCGGCGTCCTCGGTTCGTCCAGCATCGGCTCTGACGGTGCGCTGTCCATCACGTTTCCCATGGACAGTTGCATGTTCTGCTGCAGTGTCCCGGCCATCGAGCCCGCCCGTTGCATGCCTTCCCCACCCAGATCAACCAGGCGGCGGTTGCGGGTGGCGGTGCGGACCAGGTGGCGCGAGCCGGACGGGCGGTTGGGCGACTTGCTCCGAGCCCTGGTCAGGGCATCCAGGTGGGAGAGCGAGCGGTTGAGCGAGTCCGGCACCTTGTCCGCCATCCTCACGCTCTCACACGCACCAAGTGTGTATGCTTGCAAAGTGGTGTGTTGCGTGGCCTGTCATCTACGTCGGGGAACGAGCTCGTCTCCTCCCACACTCCTCCGCTCACCGGTTGCCGCCACCTCTCCTGTTCGCCCACTCGGCCTGACCAGCCCCCTCCCAGCGGGTGCTCCTCCCTCCACCCCCCCTCCCCCTCCCCCTCGTCCCTTGCCATGGAGGCTGTGGTCACCGTCCGCATCCAAAGGGCTCGTCGGTTTGCTCTCCTGCACCGCCCACGGGGAGCAGAGAGACACTCGGCCGACGCGGTGGCGGCGTCATCGCTTCCGGTCCCGTTTGTGGCGCTGCTGTTGGGTGGCGCAGGACGGGAAGTGGGCAAGACGCACCACATCCATTCGACTACAGCACCGGTGTGGAACGCGGCGTTCACCATCACGGTTCCGCTGGTTGACGATGCAGACTCGGCCGCTGAAGAGCCGGGCGCAGACGCACTCACCCTTGCTGTCTACGATCATCATCGGCTTTGGAAGAACAAGCTACTCGGCCAGGCCCACATTGCGCTGCTTCCGCTGCTCCAGGCACAAGCACCAAGCACAGCGCCCGATATGCCGTTACCTCCACTCCCACCTCCCGATGCGTCCGATGCCAGCGAGTCCGAGGCTGATGGTCCTGCCACTGCGCCGATACCGCCGTTGCCGGTCGACACCTCGCACCTCCGCAAGCTGTTGTCCAAGAAAGTCAAGCTCAAGGCCCAGATACGCAAGCTCAAAGCCACAGCTGCCTCTGCAGACGCCATCGCCCCGCTCTATCAAAAGTACCGCATCATGAAAGAGCGTATCTCGGACGAGGTCGCCCGCATCAAGCTCGAGCAGGCCGCCGGCCACGGAGGCGCTCATGCTGCGGACGAGCCGACAGCACCTGTGCCGCCGCCGCCGCCGGGCCGACCCAGGGCTGGTGCCAGTTTGCAGTCGGCAGCTAGCAACAGTCTTGCCGCCTGGCAGGCTCTGCCCGCCGGCGTGAGTTGTGGGCGGTGGATGCCTGTGGCCGACACCCGTCCCGGCTACGAGAACTCTGCGCTGTGCGAGCTGTACTATGAGCTCGAGTTTGTGGGTGTCCGCAAGACTGGCTTCTCTGTTGGCAGCTCGGCCACCGATCCTGTGGCAACGGCGTCGTGCGAGCTACCCCCACTGGATGCGGGCGATAGCGGCGGAACGTCAGTGGCGATCACTGTCATCGAGGCGACCGGCTTGCCGTCGTCAGACCGGTTCCATGGCGCCGATCCATACGCCAAGATAATTTGGTCGTCGGGCGAGGTAGCGCAGGGTTTCACCGACAAGCACACGCTCGCGCCACGATGGGACCTACGGTTCGTGCCGCTCGAACCGGAGCAGTCGTTTGCGATCGTTGAGGTCTGGGACCGCGACCTGCTCTCGTCAGACGACTTTATCGGGCTGGTGGACATTAATCTTGAGGCCATCCCGCTCGCGCATGCGTTCCTCGACGAGTGGCACGAGCTCAAGTCGCGGACCGGCGTTGCCGCTGGAAGACTCCATGTTCGGATCGAGCGCACACGGCGTGGGGCGCATCTGGCGGCCCAAATGGGGCCGTCGATGTCGTTTGACTTTTCCGCTAGCAGAGCCTCTGATCCTGACCGGGTTACCGCCTCGGACACGTTCGCGCTCCTGTCAGAAGCATCCGTCTCGTCGCTGGTCTCGTCAACCGACGGCGAGCTGTCGCGAATGCCGAGTTTTGCGCTCTCGCCGCTCGACGCCTCGCTGAGCCAGCAGGTCAACCACGTGTTTCTTCACCCGATGTCAGAGCTGTGGCTTGAGACTAATCTAAGCCTCTACACCTCTATGCTGACGGTCAACGACGAGCACGGCGGAACGTTGTTTGCTGCTGCTCATGATGTTGGAATCAACCCGTCTCACGCCCAAATCCGGACCGGGATCACCGAACTGGTCATGGCGCTTGCGCGCGCGTTCCTCCCACCGCCGCGGATTGCCGCGCTCGATGCCACCTTTGCCGAGTACATGGCGGCGGTGCCGATGGGCGAGGAGCAGCGCGGCTTTCGGGCCTTTCTTCACTCGGGCACGTTAGCCGAGACTGAACCGCTCTCGTTAACGTTCAAATGTTTGGCGGAAGATCTGCTGTTTCCAGCCTATGCTGCGCTCCGACGCGGGATCTTTGAAGAGTTTCCGTTTGCATCCGAGCCGTACTCGGGCGCGCGACCTGCCGTGGTCATCACGCTCTCCGAGTCGCGGGTCGATGTTGTCCACACCCGACAGGCAGTCTCGCTCTCACAGGACCCGGCCGAGGCGTTCTCATTTGTCTGGCAGGTAGAGCTGGCATTCGACGTGGAGGCCGGGCGGACGCACACGCCGCTGCGAGTTGATCTGCGAGTGCTCTCGCATCAGACCGCCCCAGGCATGCCCAAGTATCGAGGTGCGGCTCTGGTCGACACGCTCTCGGAGTTTGTGTGCGAGAAGGACAAGTACGAGTGGATCTGGCGGCGACCTTTTGCTGACTCGCTTGTTGGCCACGACATTCCGCGGCTGGCCAAAGCGGTGACAGTCCTTGCGCGGGATGGAACAGTGCTCTACGCTGATGGTAAGCTGACTGGAAGCCCCGCGGCCGGCGTGCGTGATGCAGTTTCGAGCATGGCCGACGACGGGGCAGCCGTGGTTGAGCTGATGGTTGCTGTGGCGCACGCCATAGACGATGCCAACACGGCGCGCGCGGTCTGCCTCCACGCGCCGGCATTTCTCACGTCTGACGGTTCACTCGGCGACGCAACACGGGCTTACCTCATTTCCCGATACTTTAACGAGGATTCGGCCGTGGCGCGGGTGCTCAAGACGCTATCCCAGGACATCATCATGCCGAGCGTCAAGACGCTACGGTCGTCGTTCTACGAGCGGTTCCCCTACAAGGACGTCCGTGGCATGTGGGCCATTACCGTGGCTGTGGAGGACAAGCACGTGACGGTTGAGCACGTCCGGCGCGAGCAGTCCCACGACGCGGACCCAGGCGCGGCGTTTGAATTTGAGTGGCGACTCAAGCTCTCGTTCGATGCGCACGTCACCCAGCTCTTTCCGGAGCTCAAGATCACCGACCACTCGTGGGGAGCTGCGACCCGACCGAATGTCCAGCGCGAAGTCCTTGACGCCATGTTCCCCTTCCTTGACATGGACTACTTTGTGCGGCAGGTGTGGAGCCAACCACTGGACAAGGTCCCGCTCCATCGCGACCTGCTCTACACGCTCCGATCACTGGCGATTGTCGATGCCGACGGCAAGCACTTGTACGCGTACCCGCAGAAAGGCAGCGCGCGAGATTGCAACGCGGCGGGCGTGCGGTTGGTGGTGGAGGTACTGTCGACTCGGGTGGAGGCATCGGCAAGCGTCTCTGCTGCAATTCTCGGGGCGTACGACGCGTGCGTGCCTGCCACTACCAACGAGTCGGATGTGAGCGAGGAGCTGCGGAAGTGGTTGCGACAGCCAGCGGTGTCTGGTTCGCGGACGCTACGAGTCCTGCGTTGCCTCTCGCAGTCGATGCTTTTCCCGGCAATGATGAAGCTGCGGTCTGCAGTCTTTGCGCGCCATCCGTATAAGGACGGTCGCGGTGCACAGGGTTTTGGCGTCCATATCCAGTTGCAGGCCAATGAGATCGAGATCTCGCTCCACAAAGGCCAAGAGTCGTTCTCGCTGGAGCCGGGCCACTTCTTTACCTTTCGCTGGGTCCTGCTCCTCACACTCGACGCGAGCTGCACGCATTTGTCGTCGAACCTCTCCATCGTCGACTACGCGTTCAACGCCCGGACGCTACCGTCAGTCAAGGCCTCGCTGCGCGAGGTCTGGGCGCCGTTCCTCATTCCGACCACGCCGCTATTCCTCAAGGCCGAGGACGCGATCGCGGTCTCCGCTGCTGTCGTCCACATGATCGACGTTGTAGATGCAGTTAGCAACGCAGTGACCCGGCTCCCACACACGCTCCATGCCGATTCCCCGGCACTGCCTGGCTCGTTGCCTGTGGCACAGCTCTTGACGTCACTGCGCGAGACACTTGGCGCGCTCCCGCATTTGCCGCTAGTGCATGTGCCGGTGGCAAGTGGCGGTGATGGCGGGGCCAATGACAATGGCGAGGTCAAGGTCCAAGGCAAGTGCAAGGGAAAGGCCAAGCCCGCTATCAAGGTCAAGCACCGCGGCCTGCACCGCAAGTAGCGTGTGCTTTACGAGGAGCAGCTATGCCCGCTTTTGGCGCTTGGCACGCCCCGAGCGCGCGGATTCGCTGGATGGCTCGCTCGTCGCGTGCGTCGCGTGCGTTGAGCGCGGCGGCGACGGCGATCTGCGGCGACGACGACGGCTGCGCGCGAGCGGAGACGACTGCTGTGGGGACTGGACGTGCGTTGCGGCCGAATCGGTGCGCGCAAGCGCGGCGGCATTGGTAAATGGAGCGGCGAAGAGAGCAAGAAACCAAGCGCGCAAGAGCTGGAGGCGAGTGTCGTCTTCCCAGATCGAGTCTGGCGAGGGAAGGGCAGAAGCTGGCGGTGGATCGATGTCAAACTCGTCCTCGAGCTCTGGGTCGGGGACGGTGTCGGCAACCGCGTAACAAAGCTTGTACAGGGCATCAAGGTTGGCGAGGTTGGGCGGGAGGGCATGGAGCGAGGTGGGGATGTCGAGATGTGGCGTGGCCCGTGGGAAGGGGACAAGCGCAAAGGAGCGAAGAACCTGGTGCAGCTCGTCAGCAGTGACGGGCGCGGCAGGGAACTTGGCAAAGGAGGCCGAGGCGGTGAGTGAGGGGCAGGAGACGGAAGAAGCAGTCGGCGACGGCGACGAGGCGGAGGATGAGGCCAAAGCGCGTAGCAAGGCGGCGATGGCGGGTTTGTTCACGACGATGGCCTTTTTGGAGCGCACGGTCTGGTTGGTGAGCTTGAGGAATCGGCGGACGACGTGGTTGTCAGTGCGGCCGGGAAAGCCGGCAGCAATCTTCGCCCACGGCACAGCGTGACCATCGGGCACGTCGTGCATTGCGGAGAGGAGGCGACGGTCCTCGTCGGGTGTCCAGTCTGAGTAGAGGATGGCCGGGTCGAGACAGTTTGCCCAGCGCTCGCGGACTTGGACGTCGGTGCGAAAGGGAACAAGCGACTGGATCTTGAACCAGTTTCCGGCGCCGTAGACCTTGACGCCGATGGAGAGCATGATGTCCTCTTCGATGGACCAGCGACCCTTGAGGTTTGCAGCGGCGAGAACTTTGTGGTAGCGGTGGAGGCACTGCTGGCCGTTGCGCTGCAGGACTGCGGTGGCAACACGGTTCCAGTTACGGGTGCCGAAGCGGGCGATGGCGGCCTGGAGGGCGGCATCTTCCTCGGGCGACCATTGGGCACGGGTGTGCGAGGCCGATAGCGCGCTCTGGTAGCGGGTGAGGAGCTGCCACGGCTTGCGAATGCCGGGTGACGTCGAGCGCTCATTGAAGAGGCGAGTAACGAGCTCCCAGTTGCGATCTGTGTGCTGGCCAACGAGCTCGAGAATGAGCTCGTCGTCGCGGCGGGAGAACTTTGCAGACGAGTTGATGTGAGGGTGGAGAACGTTGGTCCAGTAGATTTCTGCGGCAGCGACAGTGCGGCCAGGAAGATGGTCCATGTGGACGTCGGCCCAGTTGATAGAGCCTGCACGGGAGAGGAGCTCGTTGTCGGACATAACGCCAATGTCCTCGAGCTGCGAGGTGACGGCGGCGAGGGCCTCGGGCTCGTTGCGGGTGATCTGCTCTTCGTAGCGGTCAAAGAGGGCCGAGGAGAGGGCGCGGCGGAGATGCTGCCGGATGGCGGCGCGAAGCTCGCGCTCCTCGGTCGGCTTCCACTTTGCGGCGACAGCATAGTCGGGGCGGACGCCGCGGAGCATCTCCTTGCGGGCAGCATCCGCGTTCTTGGGCGGCTTGCTCCCGCGGCTATCCTCAAAGCCATGGACCGAAGCACCACCGGCGTGCAGTGGGGCAATGGCCTTGTCCAGCGACACCGGCAGCGAGCCGCGGATGACATCGGGCAACTTCTCCACGATCTTGGTCATGGTCAGGTTGCGGGAGCGGGCGAGCTCCATCCGTGAGACGTGCTCGCGGAGGATGGCCTCGTATGTCTTTGATGCTTCTAGTGCCGCCCGCAGAGCTTCGATCCGTGCCCGCCGCGCATGAGCCGATCCACCTGCAGCTGATGCCGTCTCCGCTACCCTGGGCTCTGTGACTGCAGTCGCTGTTGTTGTTGTTGTTGTTGTTGTTGTTGTTGTTGTTGTTGTTGTTGATGCTGTGGCGGTCAATGCCGTGGCGGGGCTTGCTGGCGCAGACGCCGCGGCGCCCGAGGAAGCCAGCACAGCCATGAGCGCCTGCAGCTCGGCGTCGCCCTCTGTAGCCATAGCGAAGGGAGGGGATGGAGAGGTGGTGGTGGTGGTGGTGGTGGTGGTGGTGGTGGTGGTGGTGGTGGTGGGGGTGAGGGTAGGGGTGAGGGGTGGTCGAGCGGCACCGGCTGTGGCTCGTCGGCAAATGGGTTTGCGGAAGTCGGAGAGTCGCCGGTCGGTGGTGGCGCCTGGCGGCTTGGCTGGCGCAACCCTCGGACGGGAGTGGTGGCTGTTGCACGCATTCGGCGGAAGTTGGTTTTGGCCTGGTCAAGGAAAGGCGACAGGGAAGGAGGAGGGAGGGGGGGGGGGGGGGGGGGCAGGCACGGACAAGGCGACGCAGACGGGGATGGGCATAGTGGTAGACTTGACTTTACGGCAGGTGCAAAGGCCAGCGCTACAGTTGACATACCCACATACCCACCATGGCTACCCAGTCCCCGTCGTTTGCCAAGCTCAACGACGAGCTGCGTGGCAAGAAGGCCGAGGCGAGCAAGAGCCGGCTCAAGACGGACAAGTACTCGCCGACGGCTCCGCGGGATGCTGTCCAGAACCTGGTTGTCTATCACTTCTATCGGTACGCATGCGCGCGCGAGGGAGCGTGAGCAGACGGTGCAGACGGTGCGGGCGGTGCAGGCGGTGCAGGCGGCCATACTCATCACCTGGTGGGCGCAGCGGCAACGAGGAGTTCTGGATGGAGGGCCTGATGGACGAGCCGGAGTGGCCCAAGGAGTACTGCAAGGTCGTCCAGCTGCGGTGTACGTTTAAGCGGGCGTGCAGGGTGACGTCTGAGGACGGCTGGAAGGACGAGCCCGAGGTCGTCGACACCTGGCCGTGGGTCCACTACAAGAACGAGGACGACGGCTTCCGCTGCACCGCCTCGGGCGACGTCATTGTTGAGGACAACGGCAATGCCTGGTTCTGGGCCGGATCGACCTTCCGTTACCTCGGCAAGGCGTACAACAAGGCGGCCGATCCCGACCCGGCCGATGCCGCCGGCGATGACGCCGCCTCGGACGACGGCGAGCGCGCGTCGGCCGCGCCCTCGATGGACGTCTTTGACGACGGCGAGTCATCGCTCGTTGCCGCCGAGCGCGCCGCCGAGGAGGCCCGCTTGCGCGGCGAAATTGCCGAGGCCCGCGAGCGCGCCGCCGAGGAGGCTGCGGCTGCCGCCGCCGCAGGTGACGCCTGAGCGCCCACACTCACCACAGCGCACAAATGTCTGCGAGCATAAACGCGACATCTAGCCCCATTAGGCATCGGCTTTGGAGCCGCCGAGGCAGTTGGGCGTCGAGTGGGAGATGGACTTGCCCGCGGCCTCCCACTGAGCGGGCGTCTTGGCCTTGATGGAGAGGGCATGGACCGAGGCCTTGAGCTCGTCGCCGAGGACGTCGTAGACCTTGCGATGGCGCTCGATGAGAGCCAGGCCGTCAAAGGCGTCCGACACAACAGTGACCTTGAAGTGGGTCTCTGCGTCGGCCGGCACAGAGTGCTTGTACGACTCGTTGACCACGTCGAGGAAGACCGGCGAGAGGACGCGGGTGAGCTTGGCCGTGATAGCCGCCTGGATGGGTGCCACAGCCATGGTGTCGAGGGAGAGAGAAGGGGGGGGGGGGCGGGGAGGAGGGAGGGGGAGGGGAAGGGGAAGGTAGGGAGGGGAGGGGAGGGGAGGCGGA